CAATTAATCACCACCACTTTCCCATTTTTTGATATAAATATATATACACACAACACAGATATCATTCCCTTAGTCTATGGGCCATCCCTCTGAAATGTCCATTGGGTTCATCTAGTCCATGGTTTTGGGCTCCATCTGTTGTAACAGTCTTTCAGGGCAGGAGAGATGGGGTCTGGTGTTGGGTTGTTGCATACTGAAGTCAGTTCTGGTTCCATCCACTGCACTTCCTCAGTTTCTTCAACATTCATTCTTCTTAATCTGGGTGATTCTTACTGTTATACCATTGATAGGACATACAGCAATAGTAAAAATGATGACACACTGTATTATACAGCAATTAACATTATACAATTCAGTTCATTGGTTGTTTTCACCCAAAATCAAATCCCTTTGAGGTACACATAAGGACTTCCCCATCCTTCCACATCACCCACTGTCAGATTCCTTTTTCCTCTCCTCTCTCTGATACTAGGCTCCCATGCATTTCAGAAAGCTGGCTTAGAGAATAGTGCAGGAGGTGGCAGGACTAATGTGTCAGTTCATACCTAAAATTCATATGGAAAGGAACTGGAAAATTAATGGAAGTAAGGCTGTCTGGTGGTGGTTCAGTCTTGTTATTGATGGACAAAGCTATTTCAGAGGACCAGACACAAAGCACACTGTTTTAGCTGTTGATAACACTTGCGTCCATATCTTAGAAAGCACAATATATTCTGGGCAATGTCTTTGTCTGTCAGCCAGATGTCTAACTCTAATAAGTGCGTTTTCTGAAGAAGCAGGCACAGCAAGGCTGCTATGGAGAAAAGCAAAATGAAGGGTGTATCTTGGAAGTAGCCCCACCTATAGTTAGAGGACAGCTATTGTGATCAAGATGCCTGCGCAGGCAGCGTTCTTTAAGGTGAAAGCTTCTGGGCCACACTGAAGCCAGTTCCCTGGTTCAGCACACTTAGCTGAAGAAGCTGCATGGTGTGTGGGAGCTGGGTCTCAGTTCTGCCAGTGCGGATCCATCCCAACATCTGGTACTTGTACTGGGTCCGCCAGCCCAGCCAGGCATGGGGTTAGCTAATGGTGTACAGCAGAGTCACTTCTAGGCTCTGTAAAAGGCTGTGCGCTGCTGAGCTCTGGGAGGGGGCAGCCCTGGATCAAAGCCTGAAGGCAAACGTAACATACTCCAGGACCCTTCTGCTTTGTTGTTTGCCTTTGTAACATCAGGTGATTTTAGTTTCACAGTACTTGTAAGACTAAGTCTGTAAGACAATGTCTACAGGTGAGGTAAAAGTTGCATAGATATAAGTAAATAATTTTAGAAAACCTCTTAATTCAGTAAAACTACCTTGTGTTGGTTTCTAAATTGATTAAACTGAAAAAGTATGTCTTTTGTGCGTAGAAAGGCTGTGGATGGGGGGAAATATAAAGAAACAGGTTGTGCACCACAGAAGTCCTAATCATCACGTTCTCAAAAGCCATTGGGACCTAGTGCTTATAAATATAGTTTTCAAATACTTACCTACAGCAGTAAAGCACTTGGCTTGGAGTGCCTTGTCACATGAATTTCTTTGAAGTCAAAAGGTTACTCATGCTCTTGAGCATCATACTCTTTAGAAAATGTTTGCAAGATTTTATGAATACAGTTTTCATAAATACAGGTTTTATAATTTAAGTATGAAAGCATTCTCCCCAAAGGGTGATGACTTTGAACAGTAGCCGTTGTGTGTGTGTGCTGTGTGAGGAACAAAGTAGGAACACAGTCTGCTTATAACCTCCTGGCAGCAGCTGTTCAAATATTGTTTCTCTGCTTCCATCCCTGCAGAGAATTTGGCTCACAAATATAAACTCTGTAAGTTGGTAGGTTGTCTTATTTGCTAAAAGTAACGACTGCTGGTAAATAATAAGATGATGTACTGTTCTTTTTCTAACTGATGACTGTAATCTTTTCTGGGAGGCAATTGGCAAACAAATGCTATCTTGTTTGGTTATCCAATCCAAACTTTTCAGTGGTCATTTACAAAATGCAGAAACTTCTGTGGTGAGACCAGCATGCCAGTAGAGTTGCTGCTGCAAATCTTGATGAGAAAGCTGGCTTGCAGGCTACAGAGTCAGTTACTATGCTGTGAGATTTTTTTTCCATGTACGTGGTGAAATGTTGCCAAGAAAAAAAATCTGCCATTTCAGTGTATATGTGACTGCTGTGTACATGGGAACCAATTAACTACAATAATACAAAGTCATTCAAATGAAACAAAACAGTCTGCAGAATAACAAGGTTCAAAGAAACCCTGGAAACACCCTTGTCTTTAAATAACTTTACAACAAACAAAATGAATATTCATGAACCTATAAAACATTTATGGCATGAAATGAGGGCAAACATAAAATTTTTATCATCTTTCATGGAAGCAATATCAGTGGCTAGAAAGTAGTCAGGTGACTGATAATTAAACAAACAATTAAAGACTTAAGAAGCAGGGCAATATATACAAGGGGAAAAAACCTCTTCTGACACTACGTTGTTCTTTACCTTATTCATAGGATTACAAAAAAATGCTGCAAAAAGGATTTTTGATCTATGCTTTTTCCATGCTATATTCCAAGAAAATATTTCTAGGTTTTTGTATGTCTACTGCTTGGAAAGTAGCTCAGAAGTCTAACAGATCTCTGTCAGAAAGTGTTTTATTAATAGTAACCTACAGTTACCCACTTACTAAAAAAAAACCAACCAACCAACCAAACAAACAAACAAAAAAAAAACAGTCCTGAAGAAAAACCATTTATTTCCTGCATTTCATTTCATTCTTCTTTATTTGGTAGAACTAATAAATTTAAGTATTTGTACAAGACGTGTATGCAACGATGTTTTCACTTTGGATCCAGATTTGATATCCAAAGAGGCAGCAAAGAACTTGATTTCATTTCTGAGTCCTAATTTGTTGTCTGAAAATGCTTTGTAAAATTTTCTTCCATATAATTGTTATAACTTTTTTTTTTTTTTCCTTAGAAGGGGAGAATAAGGAAAGCGATTAGACTATAACTTGTAATAATGAAGTAAGTTGCAGATAATGTATTTTAATTCCCATCTTCAGTGTTGCAGTATCCTTGTTGTCATGTGTCTTGATGGCCTGGAAACTAAAGAGGGGGGAAAAACCTATATTGCAAGTAGTCAAAAGAATTCAGGATCTGAAATATTTGGAATGGTGATGGAATGGTATACTAAAAATTGAGCTGAAATGAAATTTTAACACTTAGGTCACCAGAACTCCTGAATTAGTCAGTAATTGATTATTTTTTTTGGTAGAGAGGTATACTGCATTCCCAACTTCTATCTAAATGTGAAAAATTATCCCATTAATGCTACTAAAAATTCCGCAAGTGAATAGAGAAAGCAAATACAGTCCTTAAACCTTAGAAGGTAGCATCCACATAGGGATCCACTTAACAGATTGCATAACCATTGCTTAACTAGTGCAGTTCTATTCTTTTTCACTACAAACTAGATTTTGGGTGGGCATGCGGCAAGTAGAGTTAGACCTGCAAACGTTATACTTAAGTCTGCAGGCATACATTAAGGCTACTGAGATGCCACTTCCAACATATGACTATTTTAGCAATTAAAAGGCTTTATATTTTAATTGTCTAAAAGAAATCAAGGAAACAAATTATGAAGACCATATTTTAGGCATGTGCCTATCAATAAGTAATGTATGATTATTGGTCAATTGAACTTTACTTCGAAAACATTCAGAAAACAGACTTACTGGAGTCAGAGCTCTAGCTGACAAAGCTGCTGTCCAGAATATATTATGCTTTCTAAGATATGGACACAAGTGTTAGCAGCAGCTAAAATACTGTGCTCTATGCCCAGTCCTCTGAAATAAAATATTTACAATCATAATATAAGGGTAACAGGCCCCAACATTTGAATGAATAAAAATTGAGTATTTTTAAGATAACTCTCAAACTGTAGTATGCAGTATCTCAAAATAAAATCAAATCAGTTTTTACCTATTTTTTTCTTAGACTCTGGGTTTCCCTAAAGTTTTCCCTTTTATGTTCAGGAATCACTATTATTCACTTCATCCCTTGAAATCTGATTATAGGCTCCAGGGCCGTGATATGATGCAATGAGGATGTGTTTTCTAGCATTTTACAATAAAGACTAACTTTAATATATTACTTTACATAAAATTGTATCCCAAGACCCTTTAGAGTATGACAAATTACATGCCATAAGACAGTCTGTACTATAAATCATGGAAAAGACTTGTGCAAATTCATTGGATGGTGAACAAATTAAACTACTCATTGCGCATGGCCAATAACATTTTCATGTATTAAAGAGCTTGGATATTTATTTCTATAGCACTAGAGCCTGCCATGAATGTGTTGCTTTCAACAATGAAAGGTGACAGCAAGTCTGCTTCTCTGAAATAATTAGCACATTCATCAGGGCATATTAACTAATTCCAAATTATTTTTTCTTGTAGAGGATTTTTGTTTTTTGTAGTACAACTGAGAATCAGCAAACTCATAAATCACATAGACGGCAGAATGCACTGAGTGCCAGCCAAATAGGAACTAAACATTTCCACAGAAAAATAATGAAAACAAATAGTATTTTTTAAAGCAAAATAGAGAAACATTAATAATAAAATAAAAGCATGATAGAAAGCTGTAGCTTCAGAATGTATTTGAGATACAGCATAAAAATGACATTGCTGCTGGATAAGAACGGTCTGTAAACTCACAATTTTAGTCCTATAGCCACATGTATACTTCTTTCAGGAAATGCATTTGCAATTGTATTGATGGGTTTATCCCCAGGGGGCCAATATTGCTACACTTGATTTGAGTCCTATAAAGTCTAATTTTTCTTCTCACAGAGTAAGAAAATAAGTACAGGAGGAGGAGGAAAACAACAAAACAGCTATTTAACAAAAGGTTTATTACATCGTAAATTTGTATGTTACTCAATGAAACAAATACTAGCTTCTGTTTTAGCCTTTGGAGATTATAGTCCAACTCACTGCTTAAACCAAAGTCAGTTAAGTTGCTCAGTGTTTTGAATCGCTGCAAGGGTAGAAACTGCATGACCCGTCTTGGCAACCTTGTTCCAGTCTTTGACCACCTTCACGGTGTAAATTTTTTTCTTTTTGTCTAGTTAGAACTTTCTGTCTTCCAACTTGTTGCCCCTTGGGTCCATCCCTGGGCGCCAATGAGAAGAGTCTGGCTGCATTGTCTCTGTGCCCTCCTGTCAAGAAGCTGAACACAATGAGAAGATCCCTCCTCGGCTTCCTCTAAAGCTGAGCAGAGCTAGGGCTCTCAGCTTCGTCTTTACATAGTGTGTTCTGCTGGGCTTGCTCCTGTATGCCTTTTCCAAGACTGGAAAGCCCAAAAC